GATATTGATGATGGTAATTATGATGATGATAGGGACGACAGGGTTACTGACAGGGAAGGAGAAAACGAAGAAGTAGCTTCTGCCTGTTTTATCGTAAAATCAAAAAGTCTTGAACAAGTGAACAAGAGCAGCTAAAAACTTGTTTTTTTCCACTTTTTAAGGTTATTTATTTGTTGAAGAAAAAACAAAAAACCGCAACTTAAAAAAGATTATTTGTTATGGATGGAGAGCTTTTTACGCATAGTCGAATTTAATGAACTGAAATTTGTTCGATTCGCTTTTTTTGTGGAGGGGTTAACGAGTTTATAGATTTGACGAATTTAAGTGGTTTATGCTTAGTTTTCAAGTCTGTCGAAGCCATTTTTAATAAAAGTTTTTTGCTGTCATTTTTCGCCAGTTTTTTTTTTAATTCTTCTATTTAATAACTTTTTCCGCTGGCAATAGTTGTAGTGATAGTAATAATGGTGATAGTAATACCATCAGTTATGACAATAAGAGTTACGTCACTATGGTTAGTCTTCAAAACTGATAATCATTTTTTCATCTTTCAGATAAAATTTGGACTTATAGAATTTTTCAAATATCGATGGTCTAATTTAAATGTACATATATATTCTTTCAGTTTGAAAATTGCGAAGGGGAGTTTGTTTGGTTCAATTGCTTTCCAGCCTTATTACAGCTTTTGTAATTAAAGTCTTTTTTTTGCTCTACTTTTTTTGGTTTTCACCTTTTCATTTTTACTTCAATGATTACACCTGAGCTATATAATGACTAAATTCTTTCGCTGATAATTTTTTATTTTATTTCAAAGCATAAAAGTGAAATTTACAAAAACTAGGGCAAAATGATACTTTCAAGTGCTTTTTCGTTTTCTTTTGTGAAGTTTGCTAGAATACGATAAAATTTTTGAAGCAATTTTTATTTGCGTTTACTGTGAAAGTAATCAAATCAGAAATTATGAAGAATGAATTTAAGAGAATGTAAGGGAGAGGGTAGAAGATGCAGTTAAATTTTTTTAAAAGCAGTTTGGTTACGATAAATAACTTAAAACTGTTGTTCTTTCGTGTAATTTCCGTCTGTCCTAAACAATTGTCTCGGCTCTGAGTCAGTGTTATTGTTGTTGCTAAAGTTGGGTTTCCATTAACAGCAGTTTCTTTCTTCAACTTTTGATTTGTATGAAAACTTACCTCTTTTTTTTTCTTATATTTATTTTAATATTGCTCCTGACGTCTTTGATGCAAGCAGGAAAATTTTTTTCTGCTCTCTTTATTGTTTAAGCGATGAAAAGATTAAGTAAGGATAATTTAGAAAGCGACTGATGTCGCGTGCAGTAACTTTAAATCAAACACAAATTCACGAAGAGATCGAGACTGCGTCTGAAACTATCAAAAATTGCCTTTCCGAATACCATTCCTCTCCACAGCAACAGCAGTCTCAAAGTCGAACAACGTAAATCAGTTATCATTTTTTTCTTTCTATGCTTCTCCTTTTTTCATTTCTTACTTCTCCTTTTCTTCCTCCTCATCTTTGCTTTTCTGGGCTTTTTTTATTTCTGTTACTGGCAGTACTGCTATTTCCTTCTCTTCTTCCCTTCAGTTTTCTTTTTCTCTCTTGTTATTCGTTACCTTTTTTTTTTTTTTT